TCAGCAAAAATTGAAAAACATTTTTGCCTTTTTTTTAAATTATATATTATCATAAAATTGTAAAACAAAGAATTCTTTTATCTAAAGAAGAATCGCGCAACTGGTTTTCACGTCTGTAGCAAATTTGAGTGTTGTTGTTTTGTTTAAATTTCCAAAAATACACATCTCTTTACTTTTTGCAAAGTAAAAACAAAAATATATTTTCAATATGAACCCATCTTTATTTTTCAAATTTAATTTTTCAAGTGTGTAAAATGATTGGGTATTGATATACATGGGTATACTTATATAAATGTACCCAAGATTTGTTAACGCCATTGATTTTCTTAATTGGTGAACATATGTATATTTGTAAAAAGAGAATGTAACATCCCTTTTTTCACATACGTAATACCCTAGGAGTTAAATATGCTTTTTCCTAAATCTTATTTCCTAACTCCGACATATATTTACCCAAGAAAATTAATTATTTATCAAAATCATTCCTTTGTTTTGAGGCGTATCTTGTGCTGCCTTGAGCAAAATGAACATACACACATTTTTAAAAAGAGAATGTAACATCTCTTTTTTCCAAAATGTAATACCATAAGATTAAAATATATTGTCATCCACGTGAAAATTTACACATTCTATTTCATTTCTCCGAAATGTATGTACCCAAGAAGGTTAATTATTTATCAAATTCTTTCCTTTATTTTGAGACAATATTGTGTTGCTTGGGGCAAAGTAACCAACCCATCCCCCACCTAGATTTAAATAAATTTCGAAAAATCTTCCACCGGATTGTAGTCCCTTCCATACCCAAACTAAAATATTCTAACATATTTTTTTTAATTAATATTTTGCACATCATAAGGTTCGTTCTTTTTTGTTTTAGTTAAAATTGGATTTGTCAATGCTATTTGGCTATGGAGTTGAGCTGCACTGTTTGTATTAAACCGCATATTCTTATTGCTGGCATCCGTCTGTCACAATGGGGACGAAATCCACATGGCATGGGATTATTCTTCAAGGATTATAGGCTGGTTCCCAACTGCAAATCGCCTCTCTTCACGCCGCTGGATAACCCAAGGGGTTACATCATTTGATGATACAGCTTGGCACCAGTGACGTCGCAGACGTTGTCAGAATGTTTCATTTTATCAATGTTATCAGCCTTTCGGGACTCTTTTAATTTCAGAGTTTCCTTCTCTTAGATGGGTTGCCTTCCAAGATTAACGAGTCCCATCTACCCGGGGTGCTGGGCTCTTGCTGGGCTCTTGCTGGGCTCTTGCTGGGCTCTTGCTGGGCTCTTGCTGGAATTGATCTCCAGACCACCAACTTGAGATTTGCTCAGTTATATTTAAAGGTTAGGTTTCATTACGTTATTATTTTAATAAAGATATATTTTTGGAATAAAAAAAGGCAAACATCTTTAAATGTTAAAATATACACACCTGAAATGTGTGTGTGTTTTATTAACAATTTAAAAAGCAATCAATTGTATTTATTAGTTTTACTTTTAAGGAGGGAAAATACATTATCAATGTTGTCACGCATGGTTATTAAATTTAAAGAAACCAAATAGTTTTGGGGAAATAGGCTATTCGCCCTATGAAGTCATGTGCATGATTATTTAGAACAAATTAATTTAAAATTGTATTTCGCAATATTAACAACGCACTAAAAGACGCACTTAAAACGACTGATGTTTTGGTTTTCCCGATAAATGTGATTACAGTGTAATTCTTTGATCATGATTTTTTATTTCTTTTTATTTTTTCATAACTTTTAAACACATATAAAATGCTAAAATAGTTCCTTAGTTGATACTTTAAATGTATTTGTAATTTATAATAATAATACTTAAACGTTTACTAAAATAAAAACGGATTTAAAATATTTTTTGCGCATTTAAATTTATTTGATTTTCGTAAATAATAGAAAATAACTATGAATGTTTTTAGGAATCCGAACGTTCTTAAATATTTTCTGCTCTTTGGAGTTACGTCAGTATAGCTCAATCTTATATACTATGACTATCATAAAACACATCGAGCACACTAAAATGCTTTATCCGGTGCGCAAAAAAAGTATTAGTGAACTCCCATATTCTACACACAGAGATGAAAAAAAAAAATAATCTACCTACTAACCACAAGGTACAATTAGATAAAGATGTCTCACTGATTGTCTTACCTTCGGTGCATTTCAATCCATACCATCCTTTCTGGCAACCTTCAGTACATTCTAGAGTATCCACATTGCAGACGTCATTTACACAGTGTTCAAAACAAGCTAAAGTAAATGTATTTAGGTGATGTTTAGTATCCAATAATTGGTGTTTTCTCAAACTGAGCGCTGCAGTGCCAAGTGCATACGTGGATTCCTAACATGGGCACGGCAGAGTGTTTTTTTTTTGTTGTTTTTTTTTTTTGAGTTAATTAAAATTTCGGCTTTTTCGTAGTTTTTTTGTTTTAATTTGACTTTGGGAGCCTTGCGAAAACCTGGAATGCAGAAAGGTCAGCATGCCTAGAAAACGTTTGGTTAATCCTACATTTATCATTTGTATAATATTGCGCCATACCTATTTAACCACGTTTTGTGATAACTTACACCTGTTAGTTGTAACGATGGGGGCTAATGGGGATCGTTCATCTTTTAGTGCGCCCACTGGCAGGGGGTTTCCAGTTTGAAAAAATAAAAATAATAAAAAAGTAAAGAAAGAAAGCATGCATGTTGATCAAATAAAACTGTCTGGCTAGTATACTCAAATCGTTGAGCATCGGTCTAGGACAGTGCTCGGAGAACTCATTAGTAAAAGTGCCAAATAAACCCGTCTGGCTAGTATACTCAAATCGTTGAGCATCGGTCTAGGACAGTGCTCGGAGAACTCATTAGTAAAAGTGCCAAATAAACCCGTCTGGCTAGTATACTCAAATCGTTGAGCATCGGTCTAGGACAGTGCTCGGAGAACTCATTAGTAAAAGTGCCAAAAAATCCGCAGCAGGAAGATTACGAAAATTGAGAGCAAATTTATTTTCAAGACCCTGTCAAGAAACATGTTTTCGGAGTCAAAAGTGATTTGTGGCCGACTAGTCGAGCCGCATCCGGGTCGTTCAAGAGCCGCGTGCAGCTCGCGAGCCGCGATTAGCCAACGACTGGTTTAGTGAATTCACTGAACCGCCCGTTATCGAGTACGGATTGGTACGATGCGAAAAAGTTACCAGGCTTGGGACACGTTGCGGTAAAGATTTCGAGTCTCCTTACGAATTCATAAAATTTATCTAGTTAAAATATCGCAATATTAATATTAGAGTGACGTGAAAACGTAGCTACAAGACAGGGGCAAATAGCAATGAGCTGGGCAAGGTCAATATTTTTACAAAGCTTTTTTTTTTTAAATGAAAAATTGTATGTAACTGTTTTTTAATGTTATTTTTTTAATTTTTTTTATATTATTTTTTTTTTCTATTTTGATAATTTTTATGTTAATCGCTGTGAATCTAGCCTTAGACTGGGATACCGCGCTATATAAGACAACCATAATAAAAATGATAATAATAATATTACGACATCAAATTATTGCTCATTCTAGGGGCATTGCTTGGCGGGAGATTTTTTTTCCCACCACGCACGTTAATAATCTACCCTAAAGAAACATCTTTTTAAACATTAATTTTCCGGTAATCAGCTGCTAGCGACTAAACGTGAACTGATATTAAATTCAACATGCGGATGTAACATCGAATCGCGTCGTGGTATCGCCACAGCAGGTGATATTATCGGCCTTTTACTGGATAGGAGGCAACAAAAAAATATGATAGAGTTTGATGTTATGTTAAAGAGGTGTGACTCCATTGATGCCATCTGTCCACGAAGATTATTGTCTGATTTCCACCAAGATCAGATGCCTGAGAACGTGGATCTCTTTCTCAAAGCACGGCGGACTGGATGTCGCCGGCTTCAACTATTAGATTCAGATCTACTCACCGACTGTACAGTTAGGGTAATCCATGTATCTGGGGGCACAGTCCACCTCACAGATGCCCGTGTCTTTGTTACACGAGTTGTTTAGACATTTGCTGCTGATGCACGGAACGGTACAGTTCCAACCCCATAAACCAGGATCACATGCTGCAGAGAGAAGTGCGCATGTTTAAAGTCAATATTCATAACACTATCTTTACCTTTGTCCTGAAATCATGATTATGTTATAAATAATATGTAATTCCTACTGCATTAGGTATCTGATTTTTAAAATCGGTTATATTAACTTCGCTTTTCTTCGTATGTTCGTCAGTTGTTTTTTTTGGCAAAATCTTCGGAAAGCGAAATGATCAAATTCCCGTCAACATATCGCGTTGAAAATTGGCACAATACTTGTTGATAACACAAACCCGAAAATCTGCTTTTCCTGGTTTCTATGCAAGGATGCATGTTTTTGTGTTGAGCGTGATTGTGTAGCTGTTGCTATCTGATTTGTACTCGTGAGCTATTTGGTGAAAACGTTGCATTTTTTAAAGGGAAAATTGAAGGAAATACGAAAATTGATTTTGCCAAAAGTTTACCCATTACTTAAAGGCTTCTTAATAAATGATAAATCAAAAGATAAATGAAAATTTAAACGGATATTTATATCAATCACACACAGTATGAAAACAAATCCCATTTTCAGAAATAAAAAATACACAAATGCATATTATGGATTTATTCGAAAACGTTATTTTTAAAGGGTTTGTTTAAGTTTAATTTAAGTGCCTCACGTCCTTAAATAGTGGAATTATTTTAACAATGTCAATAAAACCGTCTTTCTTAAGGTGTTTTTTAATGGGTCATTCATTTCTCTTTTTAATAATGCATGCAAACATTGTTTCCTCTGCCACGGGCAAAAAAAAACAAAAAAACAGGAAACTTTATTTAGAGCCAGCTGTTAAACTACACTTTAAAAAACAACTTACGCTCTGTACACACAGGTGGATTGTTGTATCCTGCGCATCCATGGATACAAAATCCCGTGTCCCATACACACGTGTCATTATAACAACCCACGCATTTCTCACACTCAAGGTTCCACGTCCTAGGTGGACACTCTGTGGGTTGAAATATATGTGTGAAATATACAGAGCATAATTGGTTCCGATGCGAATTTAGCCTCGGTCTGTTAAAAAATGTAAACATGTATATATATTATTGTTATTATTGTTAAGTGTGTGTATTTAGTATTTTCCAATAAAATAAAGAAATATATTAAAATAGAACCGGAATAATTCTTTTTTTAATGAAAAAAAAAACAAAAACTTTCAACAAATAAATTTCCTTTTATTAATCAATTTTAATGTATAATTTTAATTGATAACTTTGCATTATAATTCATTCTTTATAGTTCAAAGTTTCCTTATCACATGCTGCTATCATGTACTTTGAACGAAAATGTAACCAGATATCTATATACATAACACATTTCTGAGGATATGAATCCACTTTCAAAGGTTTAAAAGCAATAAAAGAATAGCTTAAGTTGTGTACAAATGGATGGCTCTCTAGCGTTTCCCCGCAAAACAGAGAAGAGGCAGAACAATACTGTACACAATTCACTTGATATCTGCCATAACTCTGATGACCAATCTGCAATCCGCCGGTCATCAATGGTCCATGTTAATGCTAAACAATTGTTCTTAAATCTGACATCCATCTACCACCAATCTACCATCAACACCACCACCAATATGCTACCAATCAAGCGTCAATCTATCATCAATTTTCATATTACTGGTATCAATCTACCAACAGTCTTTATATATCTGCCATTAACCAACTATCATTCATTATAAATCTCCTATCAATCTGCATAAACCTGCCAATACCACCGTCATTCTACCATCAAGCAAACATCAATCTACCTCCATAGGATTCGAATTCGCAGACGGTGAGAATGGGAACAGAATCAATGTCACTAATGTAAGTTTGAGAAATTTCGACTTTGATTATTGGTCTTTTCCAGCCAACCGCATTCAGCACTTCGTATGTCGTCTTAAACTCAGGTGACTTGTCTTTGTCCTGATACCTCAACACTCTTTTACCGTTTTCACCCAAAGCCTCAAGCATAAATCCTTTTAGTCTAGTTCCTGAAAAATAAACGTGAATGTAAAGCAGCTCATTAAAAAAAAAAAAAAAATCATTTGATTTTTTATCTTGACATAATCTATATTCAAAGTGTTTATATTTTAAACAAACACTTTGAATATAGATTATCTACTTTTACCGTTTTCACCCAAAACCTCAAGCATAAATCCTTTTAGTCAAATTCAGAAAAAATAAACGTGAATATAAAGCAGCTCATTAAAAAAAAAAAAAAAATCATTTGATTTTTTATCTTGACATAATCTATATTCAAAGTGTTTATATTTTAAACAAACACTTTGAATATAGATTATCTTGACATAATCTATATTCAAACTGTTTATATTAAAAAAAACACTTTGAATATAAATTATCTTGACAGAATATATATTCAAAGTGTTTATATTAAAAAAAAACACTTTGAATATAGATTATCTTGACAGAATCTATATTCAAAATATTAATATTCAAAACAAATCACTTTGAATATAAATTATCTGGACATAATCTATATTCAAAGTGTTTATATTTTTTTAAACACTTTGAATATAGATTATCTTGACATAATCTACATTCAAAGTGTTTATATTCAAAAAAAGAAAAAAAACTTTGAATATAAATTATCTGGACATAATCTATGTTCAAATTGTGTATATTTTAAAAAAACACTTTGAATATAGATTATCTTGACATAATCTATATTCAAGTGTTTTTAGAATCCACATTTTCTAAAACAATCTAATCTAGTTTTGTATATGTTGTTTTTTTTTAATTTAGAATGTAATTGTTATCCTTCCAATGATTTTGTTAAGGATATTTATTTCTAGCAATTACCTAAACTAGTGTGAAGTAAAGAGAGGGGAGAATCGGGAGAAACGACTGCTTGCGTATGGCACCTTTTATGTGTGAGTCATTGTCAACTAAATACACGGCCATTGAGGCATGTGTCTTTCGGCCCGTGACCATGGCTAAAAAGGTGCACACCCTCCAAAGCTACAACGTTTGAGTAAACATGGTGCTGGTCTCATCTTGCATTTTTTGTAGGTTGTTATTTAGCGTAAGTCCTGAAGTTCTGGGGAGCAGTAGTGTGTGTCACTACCGTCTCATTTAATACCTGATTTTTTTTTCTCCGGTTCAGGTAGAAATACACTTGTATCGTGTGTCCTGACTCGGAGGCGATGTATTGAATCCTCGGAGTCGTGTCTGGTCATACGGGTTGTTATGTGGCACACCTTTTCCGTGCGTGAACTTTACTTGACCTAAATTACAATCCTAGCAGACAGTAACGTCTGTTGTGGGCGTAGCCTATTCGTTTAATGTATCTTATTTACAACCGTGTTTAACAATTAAACATTTTAGACTGTCTTCCTGGTATTTTTTCGAATGTGCTCGATAACCCGAGAAATGTTAACAACACGTCATAAGTCTTTTCTGGAAGGCAGGGCTTACGCAACCTATATAAGGGATTGACAGGCACGGACGGAGATTCAGATAGGTTTTATTAACTTTACGTGTATTATTCTTTGTGTTCTTATATATGTGTTTATTTCGCATTTAATCATTATTCATATGGCACATTATACGAACTGTCTTAACTGTGTACCGGTACAAGATCTACCATACTGTAAGTTGAAGATTGTCATTATATTTTATTTTATTTTGTAATTATATTAAGACTAAATAAATCTTATTAATTGTAACTAGAAACTGTTTTGGGTGTCGTATGTTTAATATTGTTGACTCTATGGTATCGTCCTTTGTTAGGCACTGTTTACAACGAGCCATTAAAATTAAAATAGGAGATTAATTTCTCATATTAGAAGCCAGTGCGTAACACGGGTCAACACATATCTTCCATTTAACCACTCTACCTTTTCTGCTAGCTCTGATAATCAGCCTCTCAGTGTTGAGTGGCATAGGTACATTTGGATGTTAATTGAATGCTATCTGCTTTGCTAGTTGATCTGCTCTCTCATCTCCTGGTATATTGTTGTCACCTGGTATCCTTTGTCAGTTGCACTTGACTTCACAGTTATCGATGTTCATAAGTATTGATTTTACTCTTGTTGATTTAAGATCTTGATGCTGATCTGCCTGAATTGTTGATTTGCAGTCGGAGAAGATAAGGACATTTTTTTGCTCCCGTTAGGGAAAACTGTGAAGATTGCAGATAGCTGGTGTAACACTTCTTCAATAGTGGTCACTCTTGCTTCATAGTTACTGCAGATTGAGGTAAAGGGGTTCCAGAATTAATCAGATCATCGGCCTGTGTACTTTATTGTAAAATATAGCCAGCATGTAAGGATCCGATGAGGGATGATCCATCGATGTATACTTTGAGTATTATCCTCTGGGTAGGAAATGTAATTTTCTGCTTTGATCCATATATGTACTCTTCTTTACTTTCTTTTTGATTAGATCTGGATTAAAATACGAATTTTTAAAGTTGTGTTTTTGGGGGAATAATTCTTAGTTATTTTTAAAAGTCTTTCCTGAGCGTTGGTTTGTTATGTTCCTCTTCCATTTAGAGACAACATTTAGTAGTGATTTCTCTTTTGATTCTATGGTGTGGTTATCCACTTTTTTCAACGATTTGAGATTTGTATGTTTTTGTATCCAGTCTTCCGAACTTTTCAGATCTTAAAGCTTCAGAGATGAATTGGATAGTCTGGCTGGGTACTGTTCTTAGATGTATACCATTTGTATTTGCTGCAGCCTGACCAAACCAAAAAGCTGGATTCCATCATTGATCACACATCTCTGTCTTAAGGATCACACATCACTGTCCCATGGATCACACATCACTGTCCCATGGATCACACATCACTGTCCCATGGATCACACATCACTGTCCCATGGAAGTGTGTAGTGACAGGGTACCTAGTGTGTAGTGATTCCCATGGATCACACATCACTGTCCCATGGATCACACATCACTTTCCCATGGATCACACATCACTGTCCCATGGATCACACATCACTGTCCCATGGATCCCACATCACTGTCCCATGGATCACACATCACTGTCCCATGGATCTCACATCATTTTCCCATGGATCACACATCACATGTCCCATGGATCACACATCTCTGTCTCAAGGATCACACATCACTGTCCCATGGATCACACATCTCAGTCCCAAGGATCACACATCACTGTCCCATGGATCATACTTCACTGTCCCATGGATCACACATCACTGTCCCATGGATCACACATCTCTGTCCCATGGTTCACACATCACTGTCCCATGGATCACACATCTCTTTCACAAGGATCACACATCACTGTCCCATGGATCACACATCACTGTGCCATGGATCACACATCACTGTCCCATGGATCTCACATCATTGTCCCATGGATCACACATCACTGTCCCATGGATCACACATCACTGTCCCATGGATCACACATCACTGTCCCATGGATCACACTTCACTATCCCATGGATCACACATCTCTGTCCCAAGGATCACACATCACTGTCCCATGGATCACACATCTCTGTCTCAAGGATCACACATCACTGTCCCATGGATCACACATCACTGTCCCATGGATCACACATCACTGTCCCATGGATCACACATCACTGTGCCATGTATCACACATCACTGTGCCATGGATCTCACATCATTGACCCATGGATCACACATCACTGTCCCATAAATCACACATCTCTTTCCCAAGGATCACACATCACTGTCCCATGGATAACACATCACTGTCCATGGATCACACATCACTATCCCATGGATCTCACATCATTGTCCCATGGATCACACATCACTGTTTCATGGATCACACATCTCTGTCCCAAGGATCACACATCACTGTCCCATGGATCACACATCACTGTGCCATGGATCACACATCACTGTCCCATGGATCTCACATCATTTTCCCATGGATCACACAATTACTGTCCCATGGATCACACATCACAGTTCCATGGATCACACATCACTGTCCCATGGATCACACATCACTGTCCCATGGATCACACATCTCTGTCTCAAGGATCACACATCACTGTCCCATGGATCACACATCTCTGTCCCAAGGATCACACATCACTGTCCCATGGATCACACATCACTGTGCCATGGATCACACATCACTGTCCCATTGATCTCACATCATTTTCCCATGGATCACACATCACTGTCCCATGGATCACACATCTCTTTCCCAAGGATCACACATCACTGTCCCATGGATCACACATCACTGTCCCATGGATCACACATCACTGTCCCATGGATAACACATCAGTGTCACATGGATCAATCCCATGGATCACACATCTCTTTCCCATGGATCACACATCACTGTCCCATGGATCACACATCACTGTGCCATGGATCCCACATCACTGTCCCATGGATATCACATCACTGTCCCATGGATCACACAATTACTGTCCCATGGATCACACATCACTGTTCCATGGATCACACATCACTGTCCCATGGATCACACATCACTGTCCCATGGATCACACATCACTGTCCCATGGATCACACTTCACCATCCCATGGATCACACTTCACTGTCCCATGGATCACACATCACTGTCCATGGATCACACATCACTGTCCCATGGATCACACATCATTGTCCAATGGATCTCACATCATTTTCCCATGGATCACACATCACTGTCCCATGGATCACACATCACTGTCCCATGGATCTCACATCATTCTCCCATGGATCACACATCACTGTCCCATTTATCACACATCACTGTCTAATGGATCACACATCACAGTTCCGTGAGGTACTTGCAAGGCTTTTAACTAGGTTGACCCGTCATGTGGTCTTTTAGTTTAAATTATAAACATGTGTTGTTGTTTTTTATTTCTAGAATGTTTTTGCAAAAGTGTGGACTTTTCGGGATGTGCGATGCTAATGCGTTATCAATAACTACCCGTCATAAACGATTCATGCATGGCTTTTGCCTTTAAGTCTCATCAACTAATATTATATTAAGGAAGATGATTATATGGCAGAAGAGTGTAGACCCTGATATAAATAGAACAAAATAGAAGTTAACCTTTCTTCTTTTTTTTTAAACAAAATTCAACATGTTCTAAATCTTGAGATAGTTGAAAACAAATCAATAGCTGTTATTTTTAAAAACCATCTGTTTTAATAGTTTATATTAATAGAAGAAATTATGTAACTAAATACCTGAACATACACAAGCTAGAAACCCGTCAAATATTTGAATTGTACCACAGTTCAAAATTGTAATTTCTATTTGAAAAGGTAAAAAAAAAAAAAAAAACATTGTTACACAAGCTAGAAACCCGTCAAATATTTGAATTGTACCACAGTTCAAAATTGTAATTTCTATTTGAAAAGGTAAAAAAAAAAAAAAAAACATTGTTATGGCGCTAATGGTTTCTGGCTATTATCTGCTGCATTTATAGTTAATATTTACTCTACTAAATTTCCTCTTCTCTGGCACAGCTGCTCTCTTCGTTATGAGCAGTCCATCTTCTCAGACTTTACCTTGTTCATCATCCCTGTTGTAGACCAAAAATCTTGTGAAAAGATAACTGCGTGGGAAGTTAAACACCAGAGTGGGCATTGGGTCCTCATGTTTCGAGTGGGTGCACGTCTGCTGGTCGAAATCGCCACTCGTGTCCCCGTCGACTGCCCTGAACCCGGAGGGTTTATCGTCGACTGAGCTGGACTGTGACACTTGGATTTTAAGCGCAAAGTTCTGTCCTAAGATTTGGGTGAAAGGGGGAGTAGGGGTTGGAGGGGGGGGGGAGAGACATATTTTTTGGGGGGAGGGGGGGGGGGGGGGTGGGGGGGGGGGGGGGGGAGAGACATATTTTTTTTTACTTTTGAGACTTAGTATTATGAGACTTTATTTTTCAAAAAACAACATTCGGCTGTTAAAAGAAATATTTTATAACGATGATCTTTCACGTTGCGGAAATACATTGGACAAGGCAGATTTTTCAACGAGATAATTGATTGTTGTGGTGGCCTGGGACTAGTGACGTCGTTTGTGTAGGGAATGGTGGTGTATTAGCCCCCCCCCCCAACCCATTTCAATTTTCATGGTTTATATAAATTGCTATGTACTGTGGAGCCTCCAGTAATAAAAACTTAACAACCCGATCAAGTTTTGGTTTGGCCTTCCCCCTTTTTTTTGCAAAAAAACAAAACATGGAATGATGCCCTTGTAAAGGACGCTCCTGTAGCAAAAGATATAAAGCGTAACAATGTATTCGATTTTGGGGGGACAGATACATTTACAGTGACCATGCAATTTTTTCTTTTGGTTATTCTGTAAACGTTGCAAGCTGCATAGTCTTGGTCGTACACAACTCACATTATCTTATCCCCTGCTATCGTGTTTGAGACTCATTTCGCACATTTGTTTAGAGTACAGGTTATTTCCATTCTTTACTTTTTACCTACCTTTTATTAAAGTTATTTTTTTTAACAAGTGTTAAATTGAAGAGAATACAATAACTTGCTTTTGTAAATAAAAAGGTTGTAAGCCTCTAAGCATCTGCACTTAATCAGAGATGCTATAACTATGTTCCAAGAAAGTTTATTAAAAATGTTCCTAATAGCCATGGAAGACACTGCAGGAGATTCAGCATTTGGGGGCACCCGGTCAAGAATGGCGGGGTTGAATTTAATTACATTTCAAACCGGTAAATATTTTACGTGTGATAGGAAGGGGGGGGGGGGAGAGAGACATCTTCTAAAAAAATAAAAAAAAATATTTGCGTGTTAAAATGGGCGGAAAATCCCAATAAATGTACAGTATGGACGGTGTGGCTACCCCAAATGGCATATTTTACGTGTGATAGGAAGGGGGGGGGGGGAGAGAGACATCTTCTAAAAAAATAAAATACAATATTTTCGTGTTAAAATGGGCTGAAAATCCCAATAAATGTACAGTATGGACGGTGTGGCTACCCCAAATGGCCTAGACATAAATGTACAGTATGGACGGTATGGCTACCCCGAATGGCCAAGACATAAATGTACAGTATGGACGGTATAGCTACCCCGAATGGCCTAGACATAAATGTACAGTATGGACGGTATGGCTACCCTAAATGGCCTAGACATAAATGTACAGTATGGACGGTATGGCTACTCTGAATAGCCTAGACATAAATTACAGTATAGACAGTATGGCGACCCTGAATAGCCTAGACATAAATTTACAGTATGGACGGTACGGCTACCCTGAATGGCCTAGACATAAATGTACAGTATGGACGGTATGGCTACCCTGAATGGCCTAGACATAAATGTACAGTATGAACGTTATGGCTACCCTGAATGGCCTAGACACATCATTTCCCGCAGAAATCTTTATGCCAGCCTGCTCGTAGTTGTATAGCTTACACAAGGACAGCTTCATCCGGTTGTTGTCGATCATTGACAAGCTCTCCGCAGGCTCTGCCCGGAAATCTCTAGAAAATGTTGGAAACGTACGGAGCGAAAGGAAAAGCGCTTTCCCCCCCCCCCCCCCTTTTTCGGTTGGCGCATGCAGACAGAAAAGGAAGACATATTCCTGTCGAATTGAAAATATCGAAACATCATTCTTGAGACACATACGATAAAGCACTGAGACGCGTACCTCCATTGATGTGCATCGAACACGTATCGTTGACATTCTCTCCCTCGACAATCACTTTGTAAACATTAACTGGTACGACACAGTGGACCTCAAACGAGCGTGCGGTTAATTTGATCGTTTGAGAGTCGGAGCAATGTAGCGCCTTGTTGTTCCCATCGTAGAAAGTTAATTCGATATCATTCCCTTCAACTGTAAGGCATTTGAAATAATTTAATACTTACCAAACGAGTAGACAATAGAAAAAAAAATGAAACGTTCGACCTACAAGATAGTTTTTATAATTTTTTTTTTTTTTTTTGAATGAGAGGGGAAAAAAAAACATGAAAAGGTCTTTAGATTTCGTAAAACATAAAGGGAAATTTAATTTATTCTTTTTTTGTTTAAATATTAAATACTTACCAAACGAGTAGACAATAGAAAAAAAAATGAAACGTTCGACCTACAAGATAGTTTTTATAATTTTTTTTTTTTTTTTTGAATGAGAGGGGAAAAAAGAACATGAAAAGGTCTTTAGATTTCGTAAAACATAAAGGGACATTTAATTTATTCTTTATTTGTTTAAATATTAAAGACTATTTAAAGGCCTTCATCATCGTCTATATGGTAAATCTCCAATAGACCTTTATTTTGAAATATTAGAACTGTGTAGTAGCAGTACGAATATGAAAGCAGAATCTTGAGATAGAGACGAAGGCAGAACTGTGTTGTTGCTCTTGTTGGAGTTTTTTTTTTTTTCGTTAAATTCAGTGGCACTTGTCTTTAGACATGCTAATTTATATCTCGGGTCATCTACTAAAGACATGTGAGAGCTAAATATACATCACCGTTTTCTTTGAGCGTGTACCGCATCCAAGTGAACACGTACGCCTTAAACCACGTCACATTAATAGACTCGAGGAGGTGATCATCGTTGCACGTCGCATCGTCACTGTCAGTCAGCCATGAAGAAGACGTTTGTTCGGGCTCCAGTGTGATGGTGGTATTAGCTATGGTTAACAAATCCTCTAGATAGAGAGAAGGCAACACAATAATCGATTCACTAAACAAAAAAATGCCTCTTGAAGCACAAATCAAGGTACATTTAAATAACAACCAATCCCCCAGATAGAAAGGATACACACAAAAATGTGTTCATTAAAAATAGATGCCTCTTAAAACATAAATCCCAGTACATTTAAATAATAACAAATCCTCCTGATGGAAAGAATATAAAATAATAACTCATTTTTTTTTTTAAATTCAGCCCTTTAACGAAGTCTTTTCCTTGGTCTTGAAATTCTCCTAGTACATTGCAATGCTTTTTTTTAAAAAACCGGAAACAAATTGGAATTCTTTTACATATTTACCTAATACCCTAAGAAGAAAATGATACAATTAACATGTCAAGGTTTACATAGAATGCTGATGATTTTTAAAGTGAAATATAAAATATTGATAGTCCAAAATTTAGTTTTATTCTTTAAATCCCTGATTCTCACACGCAAAAAAAAAAAAACCCAAAAAAAACACCATTTTCCCTCCTAAGTTGGGGGAATTATAGTATTTGCTTAGGCGAGGTTTCGACTATGTTAACATACCTTTACTTACTCCCAACATTAACGTATTTGCCCCCTACAAAAATTTATAAGCAATGGTTTTACCCCTTTGTTTTATTTAAAAATCGAAATTGTAAAAAAAAAAAAAAACAACAACAATGACCGTACTTACGTTTCTGACAGTGAAGTCCGAACCAACCCCTGGCACATGTGGCGCCTCCGGTGCACTCTCCGGTGGCTTTGCACGCGCTCTCACAGTGGCATTTGAACTGACATTTCGATCCAAACCACCCAGTGTCACATGACAAGATGGCTGTTATTTCGGTTAATAAATGAGCTTTGAAAACTGGCATAAATACACTCCGGGATCTATACCAACATGTAACACACAAAGATAATGCGTTAATTTTAACTTTATTTAAACTTAGTAAGGAAAAGTAGAGCGTACCCATATGGGTTGTACTTACGGTGTATCAGTAGAGTCCAAGTCGAGCAAAATAAAAAAGTTCTCAATGTCCTAGGGCTCTTGTTCATACTCTGTAATAATAACGGATAGTATGACCCATTTAAAAAGCTGTTCAATAGATTTTTTTTTTTTTAAAACCTCAAAGCTAAAAAGCTGTTTAATAAATTTTTTTTTTTTAAAAACCCAAAGCAAAAAACAGAAGAGGAGGAAAAAAACACAAAAAACTAAATTAACACCCCCCCCCCCCAAAACACACACCCCATCATAATAAAATACAAAAGAATGTATTAAACCACAAAGTTTTTGTTGGTGTTTTAGTCAAATTTAGGAAATGCGGTTGAGAACAACTGAAACAGTTTAAAATCTACAAGCAACTATTAGCTTCTTAGGGCTCTGATGTATCCTATAAAGATGTAGAGTTGTGTATTACCTTGCATATAGAGCCGTCGTGTTCCTTTTGGAGGACCCTTGCAACTTTTCCTTTTTTTTCCCTTGTATTTAAACTTCAAGATATATCTCCCTCCCCCCCACATCACAATCACAACTTTTTGGCAGTTTAGTATACGAGCCCCACCACACCCCCTCTCCCCCCCCCCCAATTGTGCCAAATTTTGGCAGTTTAGTATACGAGCCCCACCACCCCCCCTCTCCCCCCCCCCCCAATTGTGCCAAAAATCATCCGCTGATGTGGCAGGTACTTCGTGCATCAAAGGCAAACTAGATTTCCATATCAAAATATCTGTCTTCCAATCGTCTGCGCAAGAAATACGAAAACAAAATTAAGACCTTAGGGATTTGTCTTTTAGTTGGTCTAATAACCCATAGCGGATGAATAGGAATTAAAAGGTGGGGGGGGGGGCTCTGAAAGCTGCCAAATATGTAACTAGTGTTTGGTTAGCCTAATGTTGACAGATCTTGGGCTAAAATAAACAGCTCTAGGCAAAATGCTACCTGTCTTTTCAAACACAGAAGTTGAAACGAGTCGTTTAGTCATGTTAAATTCAGCCCACTTAATCAAGAGCCATCTTGCGTTGCTTGACTAAATGGATCCGCACCAAAGCAGCAGTGTGCAGAACATTAGCGCCAGTTAATGGTGTGCAGAACATTAGCGCCAGTTTATGGTGTGCAGAACATTAGCGCCAGTTTATGGTGTGCAGAACATTAGCGCCAGTTTATGGTGTGCAGAACATTAGCGCCAGTTTATGGTGTGCAGAAAAGAACATATGAACGATTAGGTTTTTGTAACGCATGCTCTGACATCATTGTAACTTAGTGGGTTATGTCAGTAGCATGGTCACTTGTTTTATGTTAATACTTCAGGATGCCGGCTAAGACTTCTTCATTCTTCCACTTATTATCCAGGCACGCAAATAAGAATACTGAATCCTGGTTAAACTTACAGTACTTTATTGAATCACACTTTACACTGATAATATTAATAATAATCCTTGCATGAATGTAATCATTTCACATATATATACATAATATTCCATCACTCAGAAAGATACGTCCTCACACTGCTATAACTCAGCTCAACTGTACTATATCTCAACTCTAACTCAACTGCTTTCAGCTCTAACTCTACTCTTCTGCGCTTCAATCAACTCAACTGCACCTTTTATTACCAACAAAGCGTGGAAACGACCGCTTTGACAAAAAACATAATTAACTCTCCAAAAACGTGGAGCTCACATTTGCTTCTCAAAAATACAATACACTCTCCTCGTGGAAAAACATGGTCAACACAATTCACTGTTCACTCATGCTACCTCTCTGTTTTCTTGTGAAAACATAGTCTGTTAAAGTTTTTAAATCGAATGAAATTTTTGAAAGGACAATACCAAAAAGAAATTCTGTGTAGAAACAAGGTAAAAAGCTAGGGAAAAAAAATATATATTCAAGTTTCTTCTGCATTTAACTGAAATCTTTTTGTTTACAACATCCTGCAAACGAAATGCCTATATCGCATTCGTCCGTCCGCTACTAGAATATGGTGCGATAATCTGGGACCCATGCCTAAAGCAAGACGTGGGCACATTAACATAATATTCAGTCTCAACAATAACTAATGAACTTCCATACTTGACACTTTTCACATAGAGTCATTGCCAATGACAACACATTCCGTGAAATTTTCAGTCCCATCTCCGCAACCTTAACCCCTAAGGATCAATCTTTCACGTTTTTCAAGTGGAAAATGGAGGATTTAAGATTTCACGAAATAAATTTACCGATAAGTGTACTAAATGAGATTCTTTTTTTTTTTTTTTAAATATCGCAAGTGCGTTTGGTGCGTAACATTTACTTTTTTTTTCTGAAATAGTTGGTGAAATACATGTGCAGTGTAAGAGCCGGTGGGTCATTATTATTTTCTTTCTTCCACACAGTATATTCTTTACTGAGTGATACTGAATGTTTTAATAATTGTAAAGCGCTTAGAGCTTTATGATAAGCGCTATATAAAAATGCCTAAATAAATAAATAAATAAATACCCGGTGGGTGACAATGATTTCCGAGTGGATCTTTGTGGATATATGGAGCGCCATCTGGAGTTTAAACTATTATTATAGATTATGAACAACATCCGGTATTTTACGCGCGCAACTTTAGTTCGTTGCCACCTACCTAGTCAAGTATGGTTTAGCAGGGTTACCTGGGGTGGTAAAGTTCTGTTCAGTGGTAAAGGTGGTACATTTCTGTGCAGTTCCAAGGTAGTACACTTCTGTTAAGCAGGAGAGTGTAGGTTAATCATTTATTAAGTATGCTTTTAACTCAACCAGGACTAGGTCTACTTCACGGATCAATAGCTTCTTTCTCGAGAGTCGTAAAGTAGACAATACAAATAAGAAACAGAATGATTTCATCTCTTCTAAAGTGCAAATTTAGCTAATTCATTACACATCACATTATTACGCATAACGCTGAACTTATAATGAACACAAAATCTGGCATTTCCTTGATGATTTTGACCTAAAAATAGAAATAATGTTGCAATTTGTCTTTTTCAATTTAATTGAAACAACGAATGCAAGAGATTTTCATTTCTTCATTCGATGACCAGCATATAAAATTGGATTTTTAAAAAAAATGTATGTTTGTCTATTTATCATCTAATCATTTATATGCGCAATAGATAACGACAAATCTTGCTTACAGATGTAATTAAATCGTTGTTTTTTGTTTTTTTTTGTAAAATAAATGTGATATTATATCAGAATACTGTTTAATTATAGTGGTGATCCTTGTGAAGGCGTAATTGACATAAACAGTTCTATTTCCGTGTACTTATCAGCTCATAGTCCTAAAATTAATGGAATAGTTAGATGAAAATTGTATTGTAATCGTTAAGGAAGTTGAAATTTCAATTAATTTTTTTTTTGTAGAGTACTTTGGTTGACGTGGAGCAAGCTTTGACAATGAACTGTTGTTTTGTGTTAATCACTGGACTGCTTCTAGCTTTTAAAAGTAAGTAGAATACTCATCTAAACGATAAACTATAACAAACATTGCATTCTCAGTAAAACTAAAATGTCAATGATTTCCGTAACGCGTTGTTGTTGTTTTTTAAACTGTTGAGAACGGATGCATAGTTTATCTGTCAATTACATATCACCTTCTAATGCCTCAGGCCTTTCAGCCCCCCCCCCCCCCGTTCCTGATACCCTCTCTGATTTGCCTTGCAATCGGTGAAGTATCCTCTTCAACACCAGGCACAGAAGCATCGCGAATCCCCTCTACATAATAAGAGCCAGAACGACCATTACACTGATCGTGGACCCTTAAAATATAGAAGAAGATGATATATGTATATATTTATAAACGGCATCCCTCCGTCTTCGTGAGACGATGGAGTAGCTATGTAGTCCTACACTTCGACGAATGGCTCACTAGGCCAATCCGAGAATGACAATCTCTACCTATTGGTAATGAGTTTCCGCTCCTGACTGGTACATGTGGTCAACACTTCGCTACCATAAAGGAGCGTACACATGCCTGATAGACACTTATATTTGTTTTATCAGTTAAATTGAGATATTCCACACACACTTATTCAGTTTAGCCATAGTTGCTGCTGCTTTTGCGATCCTGATATTTATCTCTTCATCAACGGATAGAGAACTAGAAATATTGGATCAAAGGTATGTGAAATGCTCAACAACCGAAAGATTATGACCCTCAATAGACATGAATGGAGGGGACGGTGCATCTTGCATCATTACATGAGTTTTCTGTAGACTAATCGAAAGTCCAAACTCTTTACAAGCGTGTGATAGACGATTAACCAGCCTCTGAAGACCTTCTTCTGTGTGAGATGTTAAAGCGGCATCGTCAGCGAACAGCAGTTCCCGAATCAAAACCTTTTTACTTTGGTCTTTGCACGAAGGCGGGCGATATTGAACAGCCTACCATCAGATCTGGTATAGACGTACACTCCATCTTCACAGTCCCTGAAGGCAAATTGAAGGAGCATCGATAACAAAATGGAGAATAGCGTTGATGCCAGTACACAACCCTGTTTTACTCCGCTGCTGACTGGGAATGACTCAGAGACAGTGTCATTCAAAGTTACTGTGCTGTGCATGTTTTTGTGAAATAACTGTATAATTGTGAGTAGACGTTGGGGAAAACCTATTCTTTGCAAGATACTGAAGAGGCCTGTCCGACTCACAAAGTCAAATGCCTTTGTCAGGTCTATGAAGGCAATATAAAGAGGCATACGCTGTTCACGACAAATCTTCTGCATTTGGCGTAGCGAAAATATCATGTCTATTGTTGAGCGCCCACTCCGGAAGCCACACTGGGACTCTGGGTAGATGCGGTTCCCCAGACTCTGCAACCGTTTAAGGCTTAAGGGCAACACGGGCAAAAGTCTTTCCATATCTTCTTCTTCTTCTTTATTTTAAGGGCCCACGATCAATGAATTGATCATTCTGGCTCATATAATAATATATATATTACTCTAAACTTCTGTTTATCGAGTATACTAACGATTTCGAATCCCCCTGATAATGGTACTCGGGGAATGATATATATATATATATATATATATATATATATATATATATATATATATATATATATATATATATGTATGTATGTGTGTGTGCGCGCGCGTGTATTAAGTGTTTAATGTGTTTCGCTGTGTTTAAAAATGTATACAACAGTGTCTTATTATGTGATTGATCGATTCCCTGATGATCTGCAGCAGTCCAGGCGCAATGTCCAAACAATTCCATCGAAGTCAGTCAACTATGCTACTTCAGATTTTACCAAAATGTATCATGGCAGCAAGCAAAGGTGCGTTACTAAATAAATTTCTCATTTAATTTAACCATTTAAAAATACACAGCTGTTCAAAATTTGACCATGCGCTGCTTCCAACGGTCCATAAAAACTATCTCTGTGAGCGCCGGTAAACAGCTTTAGGATGTACACATTTTTTTTTAAGAATGGGATTTTTAACAAAAAAAATTTGAGTGCGCAAAAATACTTTTGACAAGAAAGGAACCTGAAATACTTTGGCGTTTGTTAATTTCTTGTACAGGCACGAAGTTTTTTATGATCACAGCCAGGAGCAGTCACACACACACGGGCTGTGAAATGCCATTCAGTAAACTCTCCATCCAGCCCTGTGGGACTCTCGGCAGCCCGTGCAAGGGCTTTTGGACCGCCTCACCGCTGATGACTTCCACTCAGACCTAACGGATTACCCACTTCTCCCCCATGCTCTGATTCCCAGTCGTTTCAACACCGTCTCCCCATCTAAGCGAGGGGAGGGAGGGGGGGGGGATCTGCCTTTAAAACCGTTTTCCTCTAGAGTTATTTGGTGTAGGGTACCCTCCTCATTTGTCATTTCCTTTGCCATTATTTCTTAGTTTTGCACCTAGCGAAGCCTTCCCATACTTTTTTTTCTTTTTACATCAGCCACTACTGTGGGGACCACACCCCCCCTCCCCCACTGTGGGGATCCTAGTATAGTCTGTGAAATTCCTCGATGGTTTTGT